GGCATCTTGCGCGGCTGGCAACATGCGCAAGCGCAGGCATGTATGCCATCTTTTTCCAATATGGGGCGCGACGAGGATGGGGCGAGAGGCTGAGGCAGCGAAAGGGTTGCCCTTGCCTTCGGGGATATGGGGGAGGCCCCCACCCTTCCATTGGATCGGCTCGCTTGCGAGCATGGCCGCCTTGAACGCGAGAGGTAGAAAGCTTTGGCCAAGGGGGCCGCGCAGGCCCTCGCGAAAGAACCGTGGAGCCCATCGGGGCCAGCGGCGCTACTGCCGGTTCGACGTACAGATGTTTCAAATTCAGCAAGCGTGGGGGTGTTCGCGATATCACGCGGAGCTCCGCGTAAATCCGCAGCTATGTCGCTGTCAGAACAGACGGCCTCGAAGAGACCAGGCGAAAGGGTGGCGGCCAACTCTTGGGCGGCAACGTGCTGCGTCCATCTGTCGTGCGCCTGCGCCGCGGTCGGCAGCGGCTCGCCGTCGGGCCCCTGGAGGGCAGGCGCGACCTGATGTTGTCTATGCCGTTCCCCCGCAGCTCCTAGAAGCCGAAGGGCCGAACAGGCCAATGGAACATCCCGAGCGGACCAGGCGCCCCCGACAGATTGAGCAATATCCTGAAGTTTCTATTGGCTTCACACCTAATGGCGTCATGAACTTGCCGCGCCTGGGGCATTAGAATCCAATGCTGAAGCGACGAAGCACGGGGGCCAATCGCCCGCGCCAGGCAGAGCAGGCAGAAAAAAGAGACTGCCCGATCATCCCCTGCAATTGTGCGCCCAGGAACCCCTGGCGGGAGCATCAGGAAAGAGACGGCAGCACAGTCGGAATTCGCCAGACGCGTTCGGTTGCGCGACCTATGGCAACGCAACTTCCACTTGGCGGGCAATGATGTTCGAACGACAGATGCCACCTGCTTACGTAGCCGACCAACGTCAGCACTAACATTGAGAACGCTCTCGGGGGCAGGTCCAGTCACCATGCTGCCCTGCCGAACCTGTGCGAGGGACCTGACGCGCGCTCTCCATGCACCCATTATCCTGGCCAGGAGCTGTAAGCAGGACTGTCCCCTAGCGAACGCAGGCTCCGCAAATGACCGAACTTGGCCTCCAGGTGCCTGGTGCACATGGCAAGGCGCCGCAAAGTCAGACTCCGACCCGAAGAACCGAGGCCCAAAATTGGGGGCGACAACGCAGGACAACCTCCAGGCGAGAAGGACCAGGCGGGGCCACAATTGAGCAGCCAACCCTCTAGCCTGGGACAGAGCGCGCCTTGGCCAATGCAGAGCGGAGACCTGCGCGCGCGCTTGCTCAGATAAGCCTGTCGCCCGCTTGCTGTGATCCAATCCAAAAATCAAGGCCATGCCTTGACGAGCGAACAGGGGGGCCTGGGTGCAGTGCTGCGACGCGGGTGCCGCCTAATGCGGCCTAGGGGCCCGATCCGTGCACCGGGCAAACTCGGCCTGAGCAGGCGCGTTCGCCAGGTTTGCCCTGTCCAGCCGTGGCTTCGAGGAAGCGATCCCTTGGAAAGGCCGCAGGTCGGGGATGGGCGTGCCAAAGTCAACTTGCACCAGCGAGTGGTCCGGCCGAGCGATGGCAATCTCAACGACTCTGTTGACGAAAGGCTCAAGCGCAAACTGCCTCGATAGGCCGTGGGCGCGGCGACAACATCAATCCTTCTCGCGGCCGCGAGGCCCCGCGGTGGCGCCCAAGTCTTGGAGGCCCGCGGGTCGCCCGCGAACGTCGCGGGCAGCGTGGCTGCGCATTCTTAAAGGCACTTGTGAAAGCAATAACCATTGAAGTTCCTGGCAACTGGGCCAACATAATCAGAGGGGATACTGCCAACAGTAGCGTTGGCATCAATTGAAAGAAAAGTGTCGGGGATAGCGACCAACGTCTTCTGAGCGACGCCAGAAAAACTAGACCACCACTGCTCAATCTAATTTCTGTGATGCTTCGAGCGAGGCGCATGCCCGACAACAAGCGACACCGACGCAGAGCCAACCGCTAGGTTGACAACTAAGACTGTGGGTTCAGCAACTGCAACCGTCACGAGATGACGCTTAAATGTGCTATCCACCGAGGACGGCACCAAGGGGGCCCCCTTCCTGAGCCACAGAGAGCACCCATGGGTCGCTTGGGGGGTGGAGGGTCCTTGTATGACCAAGTAGTTCCCGATGTCTGTCCAGCCCTGGCGGGGGACCCTTGACTCCGCCGTGCCCACAATCTGGATCTTGACTGCCTCGAGCTGTGCTGCAAACATGCGTGGCCGACCTGCTGCGTGCAAGCCAACCGGCGCCTCCTTGCCATTGCCAAGCGCACGTAGACTCAATATGTTGGCAAGTGCCATTCGCATCGAAAGCCTGGCATGTGGCACGACGCCCCTAGAGAGAGCGGCTGAGGCGCCTCAGAGAGGAGACCTGTAGAAGGGAAGGTCATGCTCAGGACCGAGAGGGGAGGGGTGAGGTGGGCAAACATCTCTGACACTAGGCGCGTCAGAAACCAAAATGACATTCCCCTGACACATCGAGGGGAACTGTTGCCTGCTAGGGATGTCAAGCAAGTCCATCCAGGCCCAAGCACCGGCCATCGGGTCTGCCAGCCATCCAGCCCATAGACGCACGGGGGGGGGGTCCACCAACTTAAGCGCCGCAAGCGCAAATGCCGAATCAGCCATTTCGTTGAGGGGGTCCTCCAAGTGGGACTTGACATGATGGAAGGCTGCAATGGCTATTTGTTGGAGGGCGAGGCAAGCCTCCTTGGCCAGGGGCCGCGCGAAGGACTGCCGTATTGTCCACGTGAAAACTCACATCCTGGCAGTTAGACTGCAACGCCCAGGACGTAGCCCATATCATGGCCACCGCCTCAGACGCTATGCTGGCATCAGCCTTACAAATGGACATCGCATCCAGATCGAGCACCCCTGCAAAGTAGACAAAGGCCCGACGCGCACTTAGTTCCTCGGGGGGGTGCAGGGAGAGGGAACGAAGGAAGGATAGAGAGCAGGGAAGCAGAAAACGCTCGATGTCCTGCCATCTTTTGCATGGGCCCACGACCAGGGTGCCTTAATCGCTTCCAGTTGTTCTGAGCACTGCACCGAAGGAGACCTTATCGTGGCAAAACGGCCACCCTGACTGCGATCATCCAGATCGATCGGAATCGGGGTGGCCGGCTGGGCTACCCCGGCAATTCGCCAGCCTCTCCTGCGGCCTCCCCGCCCTCCCCTCGGGCTCGCCTCGCAGGCGAACGAGAATTCTCTCTCCCTCTGCTGGCGACCGCCGTCGAGCCTCCTCCAGGGCTCCGCGCTCCGCGGCGCCGCAAAGGGTGCAGAAGACAGGGGGGCCGCGCCGCTGGCGGCAGCCGCAGACGGCGCCGACACTGCGGGCATCAGAAACTGCGGGGGCGGCACGACACCGCCTGCCGGGACCTTGGACGCTGCCAGCAGCGCCCCGTGCTTCGCATTAAGGATGTTGAACTGCGAGCCCAGACGGTTCACGTTGCTGTCGATCCGCTGCTGGAGCGAGACCAGGTTTTGCGATAGAGAAGAGATCAGCGCTTGGACGACGGGGAGGTCCACGATCTGGCCAGGCTGCACCACAGGGGTCTGGGCAGGAGGCGGCGGCGTCGGCGTCCGCCACGGCGACTGCGGCGCTTCGGTCTGCCCGTGTGCGCCGCCAGCCTCGCCGCCCTCGTCGGCATCCATGGCCTTTGGCTCCCCTGGAGGTTTTTGGGTCGCAGGCTCCATGAACTCGATCTCCGTCAAAGCCTGCTGGCGCCTTGCAACCCACTGCTCTGAAATATCCCTCTGGACGTGTAGGTCGCCTAGCTCTGCTTCTCTGGCTCGACTAGCCTGCTCCTGAGAATCTAACTTCGCCTGCGGTCGCTGCAACGCAGCCCGCTGGCGTTCTCTCTGCTGCTCCCACGGGCGGCAGAGGTGAATGGCTGTCAGCAGCACAGCGTACCACTCTCGTTCGTCCTCGCTGATGTCTCTGGCCTGATCCTTCATGCGAATGGTTGCTGCCAGCACCTTCATCTTCGCTCTCCTGCGGCTGATGTATTGCCTCCTGTCGGCCTCCACCGCATCCTCCCCAGGAAGAGGCGGGAAACGATAATGGAAATCCGCATGCGCAGGCAGCGCAGGAAGGATATTGAGGGGAGCAACTCCACTGGACGTCGACTCCTCTTCTTCGTCTGCGAAGGTCACAGAAGGCGACCGAGCTCTGGCATTCTGTCTCTGCTGACCTCGTCGACCTCCGCCCCGAGACGGGCGACGCGAAGGGCTCTGGGCATCCTGCGAGCCAATCTGGGCCTGCGACTGCAGCGCCCACGGATCTCTCACCATGCCGTAGGCCATTGGGGGCTGCACCTGAGGCTGCTGGGCACGGTATTGTGTACCAGACTGCCGCCGTTGACGAGCAGGAAGGCGCGGAGCTCGCTAAGGTGCCTGACCACGACCGCCGGGGAGCTGCGCCCTCTGGTCTGGCATGCACGACGAACAAAATTGACACCCAAACGAGTTGACGGCACCACATATCTCACACAGCCAGTTGTCCTGCATCGGCTGCTGGGCTGAATGCTGACTCAGTAGACGTGTCTGGGCTGCTGCGACCCTCACCAACAGTCGGTCGTCGGCACGCCTCTGCCGAGCGCGTCTGTGCCAGGCGCCTTCAGACTCTTCGCGCGGAATCGCGGCTGGCCGCGGCACTGGCGGCGGGCGCGCTAGGCTCGATTCGATTGGAATCTGGCAGGAAAATATCAAAATTGCCGAAACCAAAACGCTCCGCAGGAAAGGTCTCTGACGGCTCAAGCCTAAAGAGGAGGAGGAGGAG